TATATATTCCTTGTATTTTCCTTTAACAATTCTGTTGTTTATCAGTGGTAGAGATATAAGTAGATGTTCTTGGGGGTCTCAAATTCTTATATCTTGCTGCCATATTGTATTGTAAACCTCTGTGATTATGACCACCAAGTTGTTGTACATTCATAACTACAGCATAGATTTCCTCCATGCTAATCAGTCCCTAACCTGGTCTCTCAGAAGTTCCAACATATAAACTTTTAGAGAATAATTATGGCTTTCCTTGTTATATGTTATCCTATGTCTGGCAAAAGTCTTATTTCTTGAACTATTACCTTAGGAAGGCTTCCACACTATTGTAATTCAGTTAGCTGGATACTATACCTTATACTATTATTTTCTTGAGTTTGTTTTGCCTACCTAGCAGTTCTTATTAGATATGTGCCTATACAGTCAGTACTTGACTTTTGACCAATCACTTAGTGACTATTTGAAGTTATGACAGACCGACCTGGGTGTGTGTGTGCTACTTTAACCCAGATTCAAAGTTCTAACAGCAGCCCACTCCACACTCATGTAACTGCATTTATTTATTTATTTGATTTGTCAATCACTTACAAGAGAATTGGTATAAGAATAAACACGAGTATGAATACAAAAAATAGGTACGAATAAACGGGGACAATAGGACAGGGATGGTAGGCACGATTGTGCACTTATGCATGCCCTTATGTCAGATACTTGGCAACTAACCAGCATTTATGGCCATTTGCTGCATCCCATGATCATGATCAGAATTTACAATGCTGAAAATTGGCACTTACTTCCAATTTTAGGCAAAACCAGTCCACAGGGATCCATGTGTTCACTTAATAACCATGGTGTGTACTTAATGACTGCTGGGGAAAAAAAGTCATAAAATTGGGCCAGCCACATAATTTACAACTGACTTACATCCATTATAGACACACTCCACTTCAGTCCTAAATCGAGGACTACCTGTATAGCATGTTATCCCTCTTATTTTCAACAATTATAATATATATTGCTGAATAGGACAATTGGCAGCTAGTTCATATTTATAATGGTTGCAATGTTCCAGGGTCATGTGGTCCTCTTTTGTAACCTTTTGACAAGCAAAGTCAATGGGGAAGCCACATTCACTTAACAACTAGGTTACTAACAGCTGCAGTGATTCACTTAACAACTGTGGCATAAAATGGGCACAAAACTCACTTAAGAATCATCTTGCTTAACAATGGAAATTTAGGGTTCAATTGTGTTTGTAAGTTAAGGACCACCTATATCTATTGTGACCACACTGCTGTATGAGCTGCCCTAGTTATCTGCTGGATTTCAGATGGAAATCAAACTTTTGGTTAACATCTGTAGAATTCTTTATGACATATGGCCTGGTAATTTGATTAACACTAAATTATTTTTTTCACTGTCCAAAAGCATTAAAATAAAATGTGTATGCTGTAGTCAAGTAAATTTAAAATGTTTGTAAAGGTATACTTCACAGAGATATCCATTTTATACCAGCACTTGGATTTCTCTAGTGGCAGTTCAGTGTTAAATCTGATTTAAGAGGTTTTGTACTTCTAAGCATCTCCCTGGAAGTAGTATTAGACAGCCTGGAAAGAAAACTACAGATTTCAAAATCAGTACTTTTAATCTCTCAAACAAACAAACAAAAACGTAGGCTTCAAAATGGTGGTAGAATTGAGCTTCTCCCTGAATATCTTGTTCATTTGCCCATTAGAAGACAGACTGACAGACACTCTGAATTTTAAAATAATATAAGTGCAAAATAGAAACAAAATAAAAAATAAAATCATTTTTCATCAATTCTATGATATGGAAAGTGGAAAGAGGGGGGAATGACAAAAATGTAAGGGAAAAAAAATCATAATCATGGAAGAAATAAAGTAGAAAAATGCTATAAAAATGGCCAGTCGTGTTATTTATTAACACATAATTTAGTTATTTGATTATAGATATGAGCCTTACAGGCCTTTGTGCAGATCTATTTTGGTCAACAACAACATGATTATACTAGACCTGGTCAGAGCAGAAAATGTGATGCTTTTCCTTTAACTTGGCAGGCACGAAGGACGTTAAAAGTAACCAGTTACCTTTGGTAGTAGTAACAGCCAGTGCTGTATAATTAAGCAATTTATATCCTCCATTCCTTACACACACACACACACACACACACACACACACACACACACACACACACACACACACACAGAGAGAGAGAGAGAGACAGAGACAGAGACAGAGAGATCTATCCTTTCCATAAATATGGAAAAACTATAAAACCATAACTGTGGATTTATTGTAATGCTAAGTTGAGGCTTATTAATCACAAGGAAGGCAGCAGTAAATCCTTGGAATATTCAATAGTTAATACAGCATGTATTACCAGGTAGGTGCTAGACCACATTTTTCAGGACTTCATTATTTATTTCCAGTAAATTGTCAACAAATATTGACTATCAAAAATAAGTCATTTATAATAAGGTCTATGGTTATTTTAAAGGAAGTACTGTAATTACTCAAAGGTTTTTATTAAATTTACACATTGACTAACTGTGCAAATTGGATTTAAACTATCTGCAAAAAAATTAAAACAAAAAAACTAATAATTAGTAATAGTAATTTAGATGTGTCGGTTGCTAACTAATGTAAATAAAGGCTCATTTGAAAATTTATAAATTAGCCCCTGTATGACTGACCATCTTTGCAACAAACAATATATATTCTGATTCCTGAAAAATTAACACAATACTGAATTCTCTATAAAAGTTACCTAATTTATTGAGCATTTACTTGGAAAAGGATTATGTTCTTTAAACAGCTTTGAATTCATTTCGAATGGAACCATTTAAGAAGAAAATGAAGAGCATTCTAAGAAAACCTACTTCATACTATGTTTTAATGTAAGATAGATACAATTCTGCAAGAAAATTATTACTTTTTTGTTAATGTACAGTGAAGACAAATATGTATATAGTTTTCTGAATTTTTTAATGATATGAGCTTGTACATTTTTCAATAGAAGGATGCATTAAAGTTCTATAATACCTGTTGAAATTATTAGGTCTCCAAAAAAGGAAAGTGCATAAGCCCAAAACAAAACACACACACACACACACACACACACACACACATACATATATGTACATATATACATATATGCCATACATGTAAGTACCCGCGAAAACTTAAGAAAACATATATACATACATACATACATACATACATACATACATACACATATACATACATACACACACACACACACACACACACACACACACATATATATATTTTCTTAAGTTTTCGCGGGTACTTACATGCATGGCACTCAGCTCTGTTCGGGTATTTTCCCATGTCATTGTAGTTGTGCTTTTAAAGTTGTAGCAACGTTTCGGCAGAATCTCATCTGCCATCATCAGGTTTCTATATAGTGTTCATCTGTATATTGTATACTGTATTCTGTATTCTGTATACTGTTCATCCAGATGAACACTATACAGAAGCCTGATGATGGCAGATGAGATTCTGCCGAAACGTTGCTACAACTTTAAAAGCATAACTACAACGTGGGAAAATACCCAGCTACTCAACAGAGCTGAGTGCCACACACACACACACACACACACACACACACACACACACATATAAAACACATTAAAAAAAATGTCAGAAGCATGAGTTGCATACTTTATGTTGTTCATTTCTCCAAACTATAAAATAGTGAATATTCCAGAATTAAAACATGAAATAAATATTCCTAGAAATCAAATTCTGGAATTAATTAATTTGTTATGAGAAACACCCTAAAATACTAAAAATATATCTTATTGTTTTTCTTGTTTGTTGTTTTCGTTATATTATTTTGATTTTTAATGTTTTGTTAATCAACATGCATTTAAATAAAAATAATACAAATGTAACATAAGCTGAGTAAAATGCAATCTTTATTGGCCTTGACTTGTGTCAAACTTAAGCCTATCTCCCACATAATCTGTTGTTTAAAGCAACATATGTAATAATATTTCATATGATACATAATTCACTACAGTTAAACACATATTCTTAATTGCTTACTGTTGCCTTGGTGAAAAATGTACTATTTGTATCCATATTTAGTGTTAGAGAAATGAAATTTAGTAGATGTCTATAGGTTATCTGCAATTATGTTAGTTTCAAACAGTGAAGCAGTGTCTAGGTCCCGGGATGTGCATAAGGAATCTACTTTTGCTTATCTTTACTGAATCTTTCCAAGTATTTTTTCTTGATTTCCTCCAAGTAGACATGGATAAAAAGTAAAATCTGGAAATAGTCCCAATATGGTAGTTATCAAAAAGAGTATTAGATTTTTTTTAAAACTCAAAATAATATATTCTGACTGGGAGGATTTCCTTACATTCATGAAGTAGATTTGTTGAAAGAGGATTAGTAGAAGATGGAGATACAGCATTTGCAAATAATGGAAGTAAGCAATTCAAACTGCAACAGGAGAAGAATAGAAACTACCTATCCCCAATTCAAGGAGGCAGAAACAATGGCAGAGGCTGATTTACCTATCACTGGAGGTTTTTTTTAAATAGAAGAGATTGGACAACCATTTGTCTGAAATAGTATAGGGTATCCTGCTCTTTTGTTTTCTACCCAGACGCACCTTCCTCTCCTTCATTCCATCCTCTTGTTTTTTCTATCCTTCCAATACTTCTGTTCCTTCTTTCCACCCCATCTTCAGTTTGTTTCCTTTTCCTACTTTTTTTCTTGTTTCTGCTGGATAAAGTGGATATATGCATATATGTATCTGTATATATGTATCTGTATATACAGAATATGAAGACTTCTAAATCCCAGCATTTTCCTCTTACTGGGATAAAATCTGAATCTGTTTTTCTCCATCTATATCTATATCATCTATATCTACCTAAACATTTATTTATTCTTTATACTTTTTTACAGTCTTGTAAACACTCAATATAATTGAAATAAAGCAATAGGTTTAACCCAAAGCAGAACTAAATGCTTAAAATGATACTGATAAATGTTAACAGAACTAAACATTGAAACCAATTCTCACTCTTGGGATACCAGATCTTCACAAATGGGAATTTGAGCTTGCTTGTGGAAAGCCATAAAAAAGATCAGAAGCACATCTTCTCAGAAGTTTTCTGAATAAATCGTCTTGCCTAGTTTATCTATTGTATGTCTCAAATGAATTCATTAGAATAGAATAGAATAGAACAGAACAGAACAGAACAGAACAGAACAGAACAGAACAGAATAGAATAGAATAGAATAGAAGAGAATAGAATAGAATAGAATTCCTTATTGGCCAAGTGTGATTGGACACACAAGGAATTTGTCTTGGTGCAAATACCCTCAGTATACATAAAAGAAAAGATACATTCGTCAAGAGTCAAGAATCATAAGGTAGAACACTTAATGATAGTCATAGAGTACAATAAGCAATCAAATCATATGAGCAAACAGTCAATGTAAATTATAAGGATATAAGTGACAAAGTTACAGTCATACAGTCACAAGTGGGAGGGGATAGGTGAATAAGGAGTGATGAGGAGATTAACAGTAATAGTAGTGCAGACTTTGTAAATAGTTGGACAATGTTGAGGGAATTATTTGTTTAGCAGAGTGATGGCTTTCAGGAAAAAAACTGTTCTTGTGTCTAGTTGTTCTGGTGTGCAGTACTCTATAGCATCATTTTGAGGGAAGGAGTTGAAACAGTTTATGTCCAGGATGTGAGGGATCTGTAAATATTTTCACGGCCATCTTTTTGACTTGTGCATCATTATTCATGATACTCAAACAGTTTTTCTATTTATGAAAAATACCTAATATCCTTCATTTTTAAATCAAAACCAATGAATTATGACAACAAAGGTTAATGACTACAGTTTATAAAACTACATATAGTTTTACAACTATATGAACCACAGTGGCACAGTGATTAGAATGCAGGACTGCAGGATACTTCTGCTGTTGGCTGCCAGCAGTTTAGCAGTTCAAATCTCAGCAGGCTCAAGGTTGGCTCAGCCTTCCATCCTTCTGAGGTTGGTAAAATGAGAACCCAGATTGTTGGGAGAAATATGCTGACTCTCTAAGCTACTTAGAGAGGGTTGTAAAGCATTGTGAAGCAGTATACTGTATAAGTCTAAGTGCTATTGCCATTGCTACAAAAGGAAAAACATAATTATTAACGTAATTAAGTCAAGAAGTACTTTGGAAGTAAATTGCAGCAGTTTTTTTAAACAACAAAACATTATATGTTTTATATGGTGATGCTAGGGCATGTTCAAAACATTAAACGGGGCACTTATTAAAGTGATGAAAGAAATAGGGAATCAGCTACATCAGGCTTTTCAGAGAACATAGCTACTAACTTTTTCACTACTATGCTTTTCAAGTCATCATTTTCATAGTCCTAAATGATATAGTTAGTTTATAGTTTATTGCTCTATATCTGTATTCATTATGTTACCTATACCTATTTTTATTCACAAAATGGAATTATTGATTATATAAGAAAAAATATGATGAATATATAGAGATTCGTAACAAACATCTTCAAACAGGTTCCTGGTATGTAGTGAAGTGCTGAAATACATATTGTTTCCATACCTGGCAGTACTGAAAGAGTTTCTTATATATAAAATGGCTTTGTTGTTGTTTTGCAATTTCTTCCCACTTATAAATTTTGTCCTTATGCTTTGTCCTTTGTCATGAATATTCCAAGCTGAGATTTTTGGCAGAAAAACTCCCCTACTACAATGCTTGCTGATGATGCTCTTGATTTTTTTTCTCAGTTTCAAAGGACTGACATAGTTCTTGAAAATAAAGCCACCTAAGGGGAAGGAAGTGAAAAAGTTGACAAATCCACTCGAAAAATTACATGCAAGCAACCTATTTCCCCTTCATTGTTGTTGTGTCCTATACATAAGTGTGGTTAGCAAATTTATCTCATATAGTAGGTAGTGCTGATAAAAACAGAGAATAAAACAGTTCTGCCAAATTAGAATCTCAGCAGATAGCTGCAGAAATGAAAACTAACAACTGAAGGAGTGACTTTCCATAGATATCAGATGAGAGAGAACTTCAACAGTTATCGGATAATTGGATAACTGAAAGTATAAAACAATGTGAGATAACTAGAGAATCATTTGTTCATCCAGATTCTCATAACAAACAACTGTTGAACTGTGGAACTGTGGAACAAAGTAATCTAATGTGTGTGACAAAGAATATCAATACTCAGAATCACAGAAGAATAGGGGAAAATGTTTCAATTCTGAGGCTGAAGTATAAAAAATCTATAAGTAACCATTTAATTCACTAAAGTCAAGATCAGATGTCACCTCAGGAAGTAAAGTGATGTGGAAAATTACTTTCTCAGGATGGAACTGAAAAAAAATCTGGGTATAGAGCACAAAGCTCCTCATACTGGCAAGCAAAAGTTATTATTACTAAAAAGAATTAGGCCTGGTTAGTGGGGGTAGGGGAAGTAATGATATGATATAACAAATGTCGAAACTTGTATCATGATGTCATGACATGCTTTGTCCTTTTGGTATCATTGCTGTTGAAAATGGATTACTATACTGTTTGGGGGACATGAAAGAAGTATCCCAGAAGATTGCATTCCTTTTGGCAATTGGGTGTCTCCTGGGCAACGGTGTTGAAATCCTTTCAATCCAGAAGTCCCCTTAGGCTAATTTTGTAAATGTTTTTGACATGAATACAGAGAGACCACACTGTTTGCTTGATGAAGTCTCCAAGTATGGCATAGGCTAGACTCGGACATCAAAAAAGCATATAAGAAAAGTGAAGTCATAAACCTTGTCTATAGCATTGCCAAGAAAAATGCATGAATGTGTCCATAAAGCTTCTTACAGTGAATCTAACATATCTTAAACAGTTCTTCAAAATAACCATATATTACCTTTTCCAAAACAGTTTTATTGATTCAGAGAAGCTATTTAGATGAAACTTTGAGAAATGGATGTGATTTCAAATTAATAGCTCTTTAAATATTTTATGTACTTAAATATAATTTGTTAAAATTAAACTTATACTTTCTTTCTTTGGAAGCATCTTTCAAAAAATGTTCATTTCTTAGAAATGTATCTCTACCCATCCTTTGCCTTTTACAAAAAAAAATTTTTTTCTCAAGAATTAAAATAGTTTTTTTAAAAAAATAATAACATCTTTTCTTCTACATCTTTATAGTTTATGGCCTTTACCTATTGGTAAAGACATTGCTTGTTGTGATTTCATAATTAAACCTCCAAGTATCTATGGCTTAATGTAGTGGGTGTAGAGTCTTATGTGTGTGTAGAAACTTAGGCAGTTATAAGAGATCACTAAAACTTTTCTGAGACAGGAGCCCAACTGTTACTATCTTTCTTTTATTGGATGCACAAGATAGATATTTGTCTAATATGGAGACATACATAGTTGTCTAATATTGGAGGCATGAGACGAAGTATAATATGCTCTATTGTTTTGTTGCTATCCATTTGCTTTGCACACCACAAGAAGTAAAGACCCAAAAAGAATTAATAAAGGAAAAACTAACCATTTCCCTCTTATCTGTAGCTTACTCCTTTGGACCAATGTAGATCCAAGGAATTATTAACAAATCTGAATTAAAGAAGGCAGAATACAAGCCTATAGAAATTAATTCCGTTATTCTTATTTTAGGTTTTCTAGTGCTTCCTAATTAGATGCCTTTCTCATTTAAAGAATAGTACTGTTGAAATTCTTCTCTTACCTCAGCAACCTCTTCTTTCTTTAGTACAATAGAAAGAAGAAAGTACAATGAACAAATTGATCATAATACATATGGAAATGTGATTAAAACTTATATATGGAACAAGTATTACATTAACAAGTAAGTCAAACACATGCTTTTCTCGATAAAACTAAAGAGCAGAACTAGTGTGGGTCTGTTTTCTGCTGGTTATTGCTATGTTACTGAAGAAGAAGAAAACTGAGAATACTTCATTTCTCACTGCTGTCATCACTTACCCTAATGAGGACAAGAAAGGTTGCCCCTACCAGGAGCACACAGCTTTCAAATCCTACCCACTCACTTCTTAATGAGAATGTAAGAATTGCAAGGCTGTGATCTCGCTAGGTTATTCTTAAAGCACATCAGCTGTCTCTTCAATAAATAAGATCTGAAATATTTTTTGGGATCTTTCCACCTGACTACTGTGTCAACCTAAGTAAGCGTGAGGCATGTCAGTTATATTTATACTTGGGAAAGCCTTGCTGCTTCCTTTTGACTCCATAAACATATTCTCACTATGATGAGTTTTCTTTAAAAAAAAAAAACAGAAGAAACTAATATAAAAGGGGTACAAATTGAATGAACAGTATTTAACCATTGGTGGTTTTCATTTGATTGTCATTAAGCTAGCATATGCATTAACTATTAGTGTCAAGCTATAAATTATATGATGGCATATGAAAATTTTAGCAGAATATACTAGGCAGAAAACTCTTGCTTGAAAATACCAGCTTGTGAGATTAATGTATAATACATTATGGTTGGCATTTGTGCTGCTGCTTGTTAATAAACACAAGAAAAAGACTAGATTGAGTATTTCAGATTTATCATTACTATTTGAACCATTTTTTCTAATGCTTGAATTTTGATTTGTGTCATTATGTCAACAATGGTACTGAGCACATTTATTTTCTATGATACTCAACAATTCTTTCTTCCTTTCCTAACATTTTCTATACATGACTTTTCCCCACACCTATGAAATAAAATAGACTTCTCCAGAGATGTTAAAGTCCAATTCACATAATCTACATTATATTTCCTGGCAGGGAATGATAGGAGTGTAAAAACAGCACATTGGTGGAGGAAAAGGAACTGTTGTTATGCTTAAAATTAAAATTGTATTAGAAGAACAACTTTACTCTGAATAGAAATTTATGTTGTAGTTTACTTAACATGACAATGACTGTATTTCTGAAAAAA